GCCTGGGACACCACCCCAACACCCCGAGCAGCTCCAGCCCCGCTCTCCAAATCACTGCTGTGGCTTTAGGGATCTGCAGCTGCCTTGGGCAGAGCCTCCCTGTCCCACCACAGCATCACCCTGGGGCCCCCCAGCCCCTCCTCCAGCCGGCTCCATCCCACAGCCCCCGTCCACTCACACCCCAAGGCAGCTCCTGCTCTGTTGGAAATGTCCCCACTATGTTGGAGGAGCCACAAAGGGCTCCAAAGTGTCACCCATCAGTGCCTGCTTGGGTTCCATCCAGGTCCCCAGACCTGGGAACCAGCCCAGGGCCAAGCACAAGCCCCAGCAAGGACAGAAGACACAGCGTACCAGACACAAGTGTACCAGAAGACACAGCAATCCTGACCCACTCAGGATCCACCCTGGAATTCCCCTTGTGTTTGTCATATCATGTACCTGGAGTAGACCCAAACTTCCCAGAGATCCCAACCCACTGCTACCCACTTATCACCTGTCCAAGCCACCCTTGCAGTTAATTTAGGGGGGCCCCTTCCATGAGTCCCCAGGACACTGCCCATCACTGCACCAGTCCTTGTGGATAAAGTGGGTGCCCAGCACAAGATCCCACTGGGATCAGAGCTCAGCCAGTGCCCTGCAGCCCACAAAACCCCATGGGAAGGTGTGAGACCACCTCTTCTCCCACCTTCTGGGGGAAAAGAACCCCCCAGGGCTGTGCAGGGACCTGCCAGCCTTGGGCTTTATGACGTCCACCAGCAATATTCCCAGTGATGCCGACAGCATCATCCAGCCCAGCCAGGAACACCAACACCCTCCAAGGCCAGACAGATCCTTGCCCCCCCCTTCCTGTGATCTGGATTCCTCTCATGCCTAAGGATGTTTTAAAAAGTAAAGTTATTTCAGGCAAGATTCTTTCTCTGGAATCCACCTCCAAGGCGCTTCCCCATCTGTGCCAGGAGGGCCAAGGCCAGCTCAGGACAGCACAAATCCCAGGGGAATTCAGCCCACATTGGCCCTGATCTCCCGAGACGCTTAGAGTCACAGAATCCCAGAATATCCTGAGCTGGAAGAGACCCACAAGGATCATCCAGTCCAACTCCTGGCCCTGCACAGACACCCCAACAATCCCACCCTGTCCCTCACAGCATTGTCCAAACGCTCCTGGAGCTCTGGCAGCCTTGGGGCCGTGCCCACTGCCCTGGGGAGCCTGGGCAGTGCCCCAGCACCCTGTGGGGGAAGAACCTTTCCCTGAGATCCATCCCAACCCCCTGGCACAGCTCCAGCCCTTCCCTGGCTCCTGTCCCTGGTCCCAGAGCAGAGCTCAGTCCCTGCCCCTCCGCCTCCCCTGGGCAGGAGCTGCAGCCCCCGAGGAGTCTCCCCTCAGTCTCCTCTGCTCCAGCTGAACCAGCCGAGTGCCCTCAGCTGCTCCTCAGACCCTTCCCCTCCAGACCCTTCCCCAGCTCCGTGTCCCTCCTTTGGACACTCTCCAACAGCTTCAGATCCCTCTGACACTGTGGCCCCCAAACAGCCCCCAGGACTCAAGGTGAGGCCGCCCCAGGTCAGGGCAGAGCAGGACAATCCCTTCCCTGGCGCATGCAGATCCCACCCAAGGTTTGAAAAGGTCTTCTGCCACTCTTTCCCCAGGGACACTGACACAGGACAGGGGGATGGGGTGACAGGAGGAGGGTGGCACTTACAGCACGGCGGTGGGCGGCTGCTTGGTGCTGTGGGCCATGGGTGGGGGTCTCACTGCACCCCTCGGTCAGCACCCTGTGGGACAGAGCCCAGCTGGCACCGTGCCACGGGGGCAGGGGGCTGTGGGTGCTCCAGGGGGAAAAGATCATCGATCCCTCGCTAGTCTCCCCCCTGCTGAAGCCCCCTTCCCCTCCGCAGGGAAAACACAGGATTCCCCCCCCCCCCCCCAAATGGCATCTCCTCCCCAGCCAGCCCCTAACTGGCCCCCCCAGGGGAGCTCCCTGCCCCCCGGATCTCCAGACCCCTCCCACTGACCCCCCCCCGGGATCCCACCGCAGGCCCCCAAAGGGCTCATCCCCGTAACCCCCCTCTCCCCGCGATCCCCAGGGCCCCGCGCAGGACTCCCCCCTCCCCCCGGGGTCCCACCTCAGCCCCCCCAGAGCCTCCCTCACCCCCTCCCCGCGATCCTCCCTCTGGGCCCCCTCAGCTCACTCGGGACCCCAAACAGTTTCACCCCCACAACACCCCGCCCTCTCCAGTGCCCCCTCACCGGACGCCCCCCGCCTTCTCGGGGTCCCACCTCAGCTCCCCCCCGGGCTCTCCTCAGTAAGACCCCCACGCCCGCCGCGATCCCGGGTGCCTTCCCCACCGGCTCCCCCGCAGCCCCCTGGGGGTCTCCCCCACAAAGACCCCTCACAGACCCCCCCCGGCCCCTCACAGAC